TACTTGCCAGGCGTCGCCTCTCCACTATTACTACTAACCCTAGAGGTCACCCTCAACCTAACTAGCGCTATTTACTTCTAGTTTTCAGATCATATATGGGGTTGTCCAAAACGGACGCAGGAAAGTAAACGCATATTAAAACAAGAAACATTGATATTCAAATGAAGTTGGGTACTTTATTTTGAAGGTTCATTTATACCATTTATGTATGAAAAATAATATCGCTCAAATGTTCACCACGACTGGATTTACAGACGTCCACGCGATGGTCGAAATTTTCAATGACATTTTGCAACATGGTCGGTTCTATGGCATTTATCTCGGCAATGATGTTGTTTTTGAGTTCTTGGAGGGTGGCTGGTTTGTTGACGTAGACTTTGCTTTTCAAATATCCCCATAAAAAGAAGTCCAAGGGAGTCGAATCACACGATCTTGGTGGCCATGGCACATTTCCCGGCCGCATTTTCGAAAAAGTAAGGTCCGATGATACCTTTTGACCACAATGCACACCACACAGTCACTTTTTGAGGATGCATCGGCTGCTCTTGATACTCCCGGGGATTTTCGTTCGCCCAGATGCGGCAGTTTTGCTTGTTTACCGTCCCATTCAAAGTGAAATGCGCTTCGTCGCTGAACATGATTTTTGATGAAAAATTGGCATCAATTTGGCGTATTCAAGGAGCCAATCTAAGAACGTTCGGCGCGAAAAATGGTCAGCCCGACGCAGCTCTTGCGTCAATTGGATCTTGTAGGCGTGTACATTCAAATCCTTGTGGAGAATGCGGAGCAAACTGGTTCTCGAAATGCCCAATTCTTGGGATCGACGCGTTGTTGTTTCGGATCGTCTCTCACGCTCTCCTTCACAACAGCAATATTTTCCAGTGTGCGAACGCTCCTTGGCCGGCCAGAGCCTGGCAGATTTGCCACAGAACCTGTTGCTTCGAATTTACGCACCACACGACCGATGGTTGTTTCGTTTGGGCGGTTGTTACGACCGATATGTTCACGAAGCGCGCGAAACGTGTTTATTTTTGCACCATTTTTGTAGTGCTCTTGAATAACTTTAATGCGGTCTTCAATCGAATACGACCCCATAGCAATGAATGGTAAACATTCAACTAACAGAATGACATGTCGGTGACAGAAAACAAAGATGGCGTCTATGTCAAATTGACGTTTACTTTCCTGCGTCCCTATTGGACAACCCTTTATTATTCATACATGGTTTCTCAGGATAATATGTCAATATTTGTAAAGCTGTCAAAATTCGGTAGCATTATACCAGGTGTTTCACATTTGACTCTCACAGTTGAGGGGCCCAAAGCATGAGGAAAAATGTCGAGGAAATAGGTGTATAAAAGTTTTTAGTGTTAATAATTTAGTTACTGAAAATGTTCGTATTTGTTGTTGTATGAACTTTTGGCGTTATTTTTTCAAGTTTTATGCATAACGAAAGACTGACATGCTACTCTGCCCATAGATCTAGTCAATTCAAGTAAAGATCACCTTTTCAATAATTGATTATCGACTTGATATAGATCGTCGCGGTGGAGGCGGCTATGATGACATGGGCGGTGGAGGCTTTGATGACCGAAGAGGCGGCGGCTACGGAGGCGGTGCCAGAGGCGATTTGTACAGCAGGAGAGATGGAGGCGGACCTAAGGCTGCCGGGTAAGTGATTACATTTTTTATCGTACGGATTCATTGACCACTTGGTATATTTTACTGTTTCCTGTTTTGTCTAGTATCAAATTACTCGGCCGGGTAATTTCAGTGAAATCTCCTTCGGAAGGACACCAACGGGACCGGCTGAAAGTGTCCGCATAAAAGAAATACAACAAAAATCGTGTTTTTAATGGAAACTGAATTTATTATATAAACTGGGACGTTTAAAACGTATATGTATATAAATCTATTTAAAATAAACAAAAAACTTCAAACTTATGAAAAAAAGGTTTGTTACCTTTAGATATATACAAAGTTTGTAATATGTATAACATAATATTTTATGTACATACATATACACCTTGGGAAAAAACATTATTATACATTATGATGAGGGAGAGAGATGGAAATATACAAAAGTATGTAGGTGCGTGAAAGACACTCGATTGTAGGATCCTATGTGGCAGCGTCGGTGTGTGACGAACAACGGGGTAAAGTAGAAGAGTGATAAAAGAGAGAGATGGCAGAACGGGTGCTGGCGCCTACCGCTTAGACGGATGCGCTCAACCACCAACAAATGCGATTTGTTTCTCCCATTCGCAGAGTTGCCGATACCAATATGTCATATTTCTAAGAAATCTAAGTCTACCCAAATTTCGGGAAAAATACCTGCGGATTTCACATAAGAGTATTCCAAAAATGAAAAAGTTAAAACTATTAAAATTGTATTAATGTTTCATGGTTCAAATCATATTTTTCATGTTTTTATATTGTTGTATAAATGATTTTGTTATCCCTATTCTTGTTGCCAGTAGAGATACAACAGTATTGAGAGAAATCATGGACCGCTAGATAGGGCTACAACTACCATATGACTATCAAATAGTAGTGATAAACAGGGTTTGCTTATAGCACAGTTGCCTGGTGTGGCGAATTTGCGCCATAGGGACGATTTGACAACTTTGAAGGACAACTATAACGGTTACTATGGTGCCCGGTATTCGGGAATCTGGCAATACCTGATGATTCCTAACGTTTATTACGCCAGATTGTTGGCTGACTTGCGCAGTACAACATGATAATCAACGTGACTGAGCACCTGGTAACCCTGGTTTAAGGTGTTATATTTAAAGAGCTTGGGGCAGTTAGGTATCTAGGTCACATTTTTTAATGTATTTCGAGAAATCCGTAATGTTGAGTAAATACTAGATCACGTTTCTTGCTTAGTTTGCTGAAAATTCTACAATAGACGTACATTTTGAGAAACAGAGATTTGGTGACGACAAAATCGTAAAAATATAACGCATTTTCGTAAAATAATTTCTTTGTTGAAAAGACTGTGGCTTGATGACCCATTGATCGAGTATAGTGTCCCGCTCCTCGTTGAATATTCGAAACACTATACTCCAGCAGCATTCAGCTTCAATGTTATCTTTATGAAGTTCTAACGTCTAGGCCATGCTGATTAAAAGCTTGAATGAATCAACACTGAACTCTAAATTCCCCACAATTCGGGAAGCTCTACTCAAATTGGCAACACAGCGTATCTGCCTATTATTCTCATTCGTGATACAGGTCTGCGGTTAACGGTAGGAAATATGTAGAGTAAGAATCAACCTAGTTTGGTACACCTACGTCACAGCCTACGTCAGCGCTGCAGCGAGACGTATGTCGCACATCAAGCGAGAGAACGGGGTTTATTCGGGGTATTCCAGTGGTGTAGTTGATTTTATAAATACATGCTGGTGAGATTTAATTGTTATATTTTTATAACATTCAGGCAGATTCCAATAATTTCTTAAATTTTGCATGGCATTTGTTATTAGTATTATTTATATGAATTTGTAGTTGGTAAATATGCAGTAGGTATGTGGATTTTTCTTATTATAGTTTTTATTAGGTAGGTAACTGTAGGTCTATAAGCATTACAAAATTGCCAGCGGTGTAATGAAAAGATGTGTTTTTAAGTTTTTCTTACCCCAACAAACATACGGAACCGTGGAGTAAAAGAAATCACAAAAAATGAATAGAAATTTTATAAAAACACCGTATTACGATGTTTTTCGAGAATTTTTCGATAAAATTTAGGAGAAAAAAAACAAATCTTCAGATGAATTCAAGTATAAAATCGTTATAATAAGAAAAAACTGTTTACTGTTGTATAATTACATACCTTGTTGCACACCAGATTTAAATTGTTTTTTTTTTTGTTAATTACATATTTACATCACATCGTCATTTTGTTCAGAGCTTTCCGATTCAAGGATTGAACACCCTAGTTCATTCTCTGATGCCGCCTCATCGTCATCCCAACCCTCTTCACTCTCCTCAGATGAGCCTTTATTAACAGTGAACACTAAATTTTTTACTACTTCATCTAAAAGGTGTTCTTTTTCTATGAGTTCATTCTCATACATTCTTACATGTTGGCAAATATTGAACCACTCTTGTTCTGTCACCTCCTCAAATTTTTGTCTGGCCAGCGCCTCAGTATCAGGCAATCTAAACGTGGTATTCCGCGCTGCAACCCAAAGCCCATATTTTTTCAATGGGGTTTAGTTCGGGATGATACGGAGGTAAACGGAGCACACAATGACCATCTTTTTCTAAAAGCTCATCTAACCTATATTTTATGGGAAAACGAAATTTATTTTCAGAAATAATTTTATATAACTCTGGTTTGGTTAATTTTGGGTCTGCTGGAATTCCGTTTGTTTCCAACCAATTAATCATTTCCGCTTTCCTAGTAGCCGTCGTAATATTTTTTTTATAGGCACGTTATGGTACGATGCATTATCTACAACTAAAACAGACCTCTCGGGTAAGTTTGGTAATAGTTGTCTCTCGACCCATGTCATAAAATTTTTTGAATTCATTTCGTTGTGATAGTCACCAGTTTTCGTTCCTAAAATAAAAATATATGTACTCTAAAAATATATTCCTAAATAGATTAAGTAAACTAAATTACCTGATTTAAAGATAAGTAATCCATTTTGGACAAAACCTTTTTCGCCTCCAGCGTGAACGATTATCAGGCGTTGTCCTTTGGAAATTTGGAGATTTTTGTCGCTACCATCATACCACCCTTTATCCTTTACATGGCTGCTATGAATATAGGTTTCGTCAGTGTAGACGATGTTGTGGCCTTCTTTACGATACTCAATATTTTTTTAATTAATCCAATTTTTTCAAAAGTCGGCTCTGGGTGCTTATGCTTAATTCAGCGCCGTCTTCTGATAATACACCTCGATCGAGGATCTTTCGTCTAATACCTAAAATAAAATTAGAGCTTATTTCAGACATTCTAATAGACAAAGATTCTATGCAATCTAGCGGGTGAGTATATTTTAGAGAATATAGTTCAGAAACTCCTGACATGGAGAAAAAGGTACCAGAGACAATCTTTCAATTTTAATGCTTACCCTTTAATGTCGGTAATTTTTTTCCATCATGTAAAAATTGTAGATTATTTCTCTAATACTTTTAATCTGGTGAGGTGTGAAAGAATCCAATTTCCATTTCTTCATATTTTTCCTTTTTTGGGGCTTTGAAAAGAGATACTTGGTCCTTGCAAATCCTTTTTCTTAGATTCTTTGCAAATTCTCTGGTAGGTATTCTTTGATACCCCAGTAGCAGCCAATACTCTATCCCTAAAATTAATTTCCTTCTAAATATTATATTAAATTTAAAAAATCTAATATGATTATTTCGTAGACAAATCATTTTTAATTTAATTCTCGACACGGAATTTTACTTAATTATTATTTACAAAAAAAATTAATAAAATTTTAACCATCTACCTTTACTTTCGGTAGAAAAGTTGAAAATAATAATTACATAGATTTGGGACACGCTGTACATATCATGAAAATAATCTTTGTGAAAGCTTTCAAAATACTGGAATTGTGTATTCTTATTGATTAACATACCTGTAATTTGTCAAAGGAATGCTAATCCCTTCTTCAGCCTCTTTTTTCATGAACTTAATAATATTGTTCACAATTTCACAGCTTTGGCTGTGTAAAACACGACCCCGTCCAAGTTTTTTAGGTGCCATATCAATATTATCAATATAAACACACACACACACACACACACACACACACACACACACACACACACACACACACACACACACACACACACACACACACACACACACACACACACACACACACACACACACACACACACACACACACACACACACACACACACACACACACACACACACACACACACACACACACACACACACACACACACACACACACACACACACACACACACACACACACACACACACACACACACACACACACACACACACACACACACACACACACACACACACACACACACACACACACACACACACACACACACACACACACACCACACACACACACACACACACACACACACACACACACACACACACACACACACACACACACACACACACACACACACACACACACACACACACACACACACACACACACACACACACACACACACACACACACACACACACACACACACACACACACACACACACACACACACACACACACACACACACACACCACACACACACACACACACACACACACACACACACACACACACACACACACACACACACACACACACACACACACACACACACACACACACACACACACACACACACACACACACACACACACACACACACACACACACACACACACACACACACACACACACACACACACACACACACACACACACACACACACACACACACACACACACACACACACACACACACACACACACACACACACACACACACACACACACACACACACCACACACACACACACACACACACACACACACACACACACACACACACACACACACACACACACACACACACACACACACACACACACACACACACACACACACACACACACACACACACACACACACACACACACACACACACACACACACACACACACACACACACACACACACACACACACACACACACACACACACACACACACACACACACACACACACACACACACACACACACACACACACACCACACACACACACACACACACACACACACACACACACACACACACACACACACACACACACACACACACACACACACACACACACACACACACACACACACACACACACACACACACACACACACACACACACACACACACACACACACACACACACACACACACACACACACACACACACACACACACACACACACACACACACACACACACACACACACACACACACACACACACACACACACACACACACACACACACCACACACACACACACACACACACACACGTAGTAATATCTTAAATAAATAGTCACAAACAATTTCAAATTAATACCAAAAAACAAACAAACAGATAAAACGCCGGCGATCTTTCGTGAACAAAACAACTTGGCAACGCTTTCAATGACGAAATCAATATCCTTATGGATGTTGACCGAACGATTGCTCAGGCAGTACTGCGAGAGCGTTGAATATTATGATATTTGAACCTCGGGGTTGCCAGCTCATTTCGACATTCATTTGCGTGACAATATTAATACAAAACAGCAGTGCACGCCTGTGAAGTTATTCCGCATCGATCTTAGAACAACTAAACAGACATCACACTATATTTTCTCTTTGTTGCGTGTGACGTAGGTGTACCAAACTAGGATGGTTTTTACTCTACGAATAGCGATGAAAGTAGACGAGCCGATGCGCTGTTGCCAAGAAATGATTTCCCATGTATAACAATGGTTTTTCCCAAGGTGTATGTAGTAACACAAAACAATGAAATAAAAAGTCACTTTAAGGACACAAAAATTCTTATATTGTCATTTGTCTCCTCTTTTTCTTTCAAGTGGCGTCTTAAAATCGTATGTCTAATTTAGAAGAAAGCACCAAAGCCTCTGTATCTCCCTCATTTTCAACAAAACTTTTGAGCTGCTTGGTCAGAGTAATAGCTTTACCATAATTTGGAATAGCTTCTGTTGGTACTGTAACGTCATCGATAACAGAATCTGCAGAAACTTCTTGTATTTCAACATACAAACATTCATTTAGGTTAAAAAATCATAAAGGTTTTGAGTATCAGTCATTTTGAATAAATTCTTATGTTTGAGGATATCTGACCGAACATTAAGTGGTAAGTCATTTTCTGTGTCAGATGTATCAGCCTCACTTAACTGGTCTTCACTTCGCATACCTTCATGCTTGAATCCTGCTTTGTGGAAGCAATTTTCCACTGTTTCTTTGTTTACTTCGTACCAAGCTGTTTTTGCAAAGGTAACTGCATTCAGTGAGGTAAATTTCTTTATTAACTCAAAAGCTGTACCAGTAGTTTCAATGTTTACTAACAGGAGTATTCGACTTTGTTAATGTTTCAAAACTCTATAATCTGTTGGTCAACTAGGGAAGCTGATGTACAATTAGGAGGCAAAAATAAGATTTCTATATTATTTAAGCAAATGTCTTGGATGAGATCCTATATTGTCTAAACATAACAACATGTTTCTTTTTTCTTTAGCCATTTTCCAATCAGGTCTTGCAATCACTTTGTCACAATTTGTCTTGTCATTCACGCTTTATTTCCAAGTTTCAGGCAGTTCATTTGTGTTAATATTTTTAAAAGTTCTGGGCTTAGCTTTAGCTGCCTTACCAACGACTAGGAGTTTTTTTTCACCCGTCATATTTACACAGTGCATAATTGTAAACCTCTCTTTGGAACGAAATTTTTCCAAAAATGATGAAACAATCTTTAGCATTAACCGAAGCTCCTTCTCCCTAAATCGGTTCAAAACTTATATTGTGGCGAATTTTAAATTTATTGAGCCAACCAGAAGAAGCACTGAATTTAGAATGTCCCAGAGAATCCTATTTTTTTGCTTAGCATGGTATTAGCGGACCTAAAGAAAAATAAGTGTTTCGTGTTTTTGTCACGACAAAAGTATTGATAATCTCACTCTTTGTATCTATTTTAGAATAGATGTGTAAAGAAAATCAACGCATTAATACAAAAGACCTCTAAAACAACAAAAAGCATACATACCTGTCAAAGGAATCCCCTTTGACGACCTGCTATAACCCAATCATAACAGAATTTGTCAATTTTGGTACCATCATCCGTCAAAAAGCTTCTTTATTCATTCAAATTGCTGTTCGACATCCATTTCTTTAGAAGGATTTCTTTATGTTTAATTATAAGCTTGTGCTTTTCCAATATTAATACGCTTGGACAAGTACCTTACACTTTAACTTTTCTTTATTGTGAACTTCAGCAATCTGAATTTTTTGTTTAAGCATTAGAATTTTTCTATTTTGAACCACTTATACAATGAATGTGTCGCCCACTTTTCCACATAGACATCAGACTAATTGAATGGAACTTTGATCGGAAGCGAACGGTAAATCCCCGACCAACTCGGGAAAGTCCGTAATTGTCTGCCTCCCAATGTTGCCGTTTTCTGCTTCAGTTCAAACGTTGACAGTGGTCCGCAGTGAGAGGAAGCACTAACCGTGGACGGTATGAAAAAAGTCCAAAGGCTCGAATGCGTCTATAGGGAGTACGCATAGTAACAGGTCTACCTTCTCGTCCAAACCATTGGTCAGTGATCTGACACGTAGTAGCAAAACGGTGTTGTAGGGCTAGCTGTCTGAAGCGCCTATCTTGACGCTGTGTGGTACTCCTCGGTAGTCCAGTTGGTCTTCTTCGTGCTCCTCTACCTCCTATCCACACATGACACACACCCATTACCGTCATTGTAGTACAATTAACACGGCGGCGAATTTCGCGGTAGGACAAACCATCTCAATAGGCAATAATTCTACCCCTGTCATCGCTAACATGGTGATAATTGGGACGTCTTCGAACTCTAGGCATTATGTTATGCTTTACACTAGTAAATGAAAGGGCAATAACTTAAAATATCTGTACTACTCAGCTCTCAGAAACTGCTTTCTTCACAAAAACTAAGAGATAACATTTTAACAAAGTAAACAAAGATGAGACGTTGACACTGTTGCAACAGCATGCGTTAAACAGTCATTATGTTGCCAAAAAAACAAGGAAGAAATGATTTTTTCTGGGTGTAACACTTCTAATGTCACTGAGTATATATCCTCCAGAGATTCCTTATCAACAATCTAGATTAAATTGTATGGCCCCTAATATACCGTATATTTTAGCGGTTATAACGATCGCGGCTACGGAGGTGGCGGTGCGAACGGCTATGGTGCCGACGGTGGGTATGGCGCTGCCGCTGGAGGCGGTTACGGAGCTTCAGCTGGTGGCTACGGGGGGGCAGCCGGAGCGGGCTACTCGACGGGCGGCGGCTACGGAGCGCCGGCTGCCGGTGGCTACGGCGCACCACAGGATGCCGGCGGCTACGGCAACGGCGCAGCCGATTATGGAGGAGGCTACGCGGGTGCGGCCGGAGGCCCAACTGCACCTGCTGCGAGAAGCGGATACGATTCGGCGTATCCACCGTTAGCCGGCGGAGGACAGAGAGGGTGAGTTACGATAAAATTACATTAATTAATTACAGGTGACGGGTGAAGGGGATTAGCAAGGAGGAGGTATTAGACAAGAGAAGACAGTCTAGGCGAATAAAATAAGGGATAGACTGGCCATTGGGGTGTCCCAGCCTATGAGGGCAAACAAATTTTTGTTCGAATTGAGATACGCATACCCTCTAATTTTTCCCATTTGACTCTTAACAACTCGAAAAATAAATATTGCTATCGGGAAACGATAAGCCGTGTATGCATTTCAAAATCTAAATCTTATTCGACAAATGAAACACTGCTTTATTTGTATCGTATATTTCTTAGATATTTATCGTTAAAAGAACATTATTTACTATATTTTCTTTTCAAAGTTTTCTTTTTACAGTCAAGAGATGCCTGCCCGTGTTCTTCTACGCAACATAATAAAAACTGTTTTCGTTCCTCATCAGCAGTGATTAAGCCATTGAACTCTTG